TACAGAATATATATATATATATATATATATATATATATATATCTAAGTCTATGTTCTAATGTAATATCTTGAATAGAGAAGAACAAAAGCAGAAACTCATGCACTAGAATTTGGCTCTCCTCCATTAAACATGTCTATACTTATTGCTCTACATTGTAATGCATACTGAGTTATTTAACCATTCTCAATCCTCAGGTGAAATTTGTTCTTCTCTATTCAAGATATTACATTAGAACATAGACTTAGATATATGCCATATTTTGTTGAGTTGTCCTGGTAATTACATAAGAAACAGTTTAATTAAGCTACTCAAGCTGTTATATTTAGTGGGACCAATAAGTATAACTGAAAAGTCCAGTAGGATGTACAATCAGATATGAAGCTACACAGTAATACAGTATCATCTTCCTGTTTCTTCCCTGAGTCGTCATCACCCCCTCTACTCTCTCCACTTTTAACACACTGACCCTCTAATTTGTTATAAACTTACCACGGTGGTGTAATGAATAAAATTCTAGCATGCTTTCAATCTTTCATTTACATTCTGGTGGTACCCTTGTGTTACAGAGGGAAAATCAAAGATGGCTTATATAATCTCCACTTATTAGAAGATTTGTCATTATAATTCACTCACTTTCATATTTTCCTGAGACTCCTCATTGTTTTCCACACATACTATTATTCTTCACCTATTCTTCTCTTCTTCCACTTGTAATTCATCCTCCACACCTCAGTAGATTGTCCATTAACTTTTCTCCTTGTGTTTATTTGATCCTACAAAGTCTGAGTTCCATTTAAGAAAAGTTATTTAAGTTACTGTAAAATCGGAACCATTTTTTTCATTCATATGACTTAGAATCAGTAATTGCCTAAGATATTTTTTGTTTATTTGGCCATTCTTTAACTTCATAGGATGATCAAGTTTATATTAATTCCTAAGTAGACAAATGTCTACCACTTAGGACCCAGATTTTAACATTGATTTTAATTGTTGATTTTGGTTATATAGTTTGCTCTCAGTTGTCTTCTCATTGAAAAGAAGAGTGTTATAAATTGAGGAAGGGCAAATTTTTCTATTTTCATATCTAACCCAGCCATAAAATGATTAATATATAGCCAATCAAAATTTGAATCATATGAAAATATAATAATGCATTCCTAGCTAATATAATATCAATTATGAATTCAGTTTTGATTTGCTTTAATTTTATATGTTATCTGTTATACAATAATAAAAACCTTTATCTTCTAAATTACAAATATTTGGTATCAAATATGATAATAATTCATTTTTCTTTGCCAAGAGAAAAAATTGCAACAGGAGACAGTGTTATGAGAACTGTGATTTCTTTTTAACTTATTCTGTTGATTAAACTACAAGTGGTTTAATCAGGAAATTGATTCGGGAAAGTGGCTTCTCAGACATAATATATCAAATTAATTATTTTCTTAGAATAAATTACCTTTAATTTTTCTTGTTTAAGAGGTTAAAGTTTAATAAATGAGATTTGTTAAGGGAACCATGTCCTCTGGGCTCCTTTGCTCAGAGTCACAGGCAGAATCTTTCTGGACAGATAAGGACTTTCCCTCCCTTCATGCTTAACACACTAGATGGATCTGTCTGTCATCTCTTTTAATTTAAACAGGCAACATTGAAAACTCGTAACAATACCTCTGACCCCTGAGAAACAGGATGTATAGCAGCCCATTAATTAGTTGTTTGAAGTGAAGAGATACTGCATGCCAAATATCATGCTTCTCCGCTCCATTGCACAACACTCCACAGCACGTTGTCCATTTATATTTCTGACGACCAAAGAGCAAATACCCTGGGGCAGTATCCTAAGTTAGCAAGTTTGATTGATGTACATTAGGCAGTCAATGACTTGTTCTATCTGGAGTATTTTCCTTTTTGCACGAAGGAAAAATGGTCAAAATATGTATCAGACCTCAAATCAAATTAAAGCCCAGAAGATTTCATTGCTATGCTGTTTTTTGTTTCATACATAAATTTACATAAAATGGAGTTACTTCAGAATTCATATCTATTTCAATTTTCCTCCCATTCTAGATATTCTCAAATGAAAAGCAGTTTCATAGACCACCACTTTAATTGTTTCAGGACAGTAATGCAATCAACTCAGCCACTTCCTAATGTAAGTTTGGGGTACACAATTGTTCTTTATGAATATTTCACCTTCATATACATTTATAAATTATTCACATTTAGAGTCACTATAAGAATCATGAGAAGAAAGAGCATTAGCAGGAAAAATGACACTGGAGTCTTGCCTTTCCTTTAATTTTGCTAGGGATGCTTTTGACCTTGCTGTGACTCAAATTGCTCCTCTAAATAACTTTGAGAATCTATTCACTATGAGAAGTGTTTTAAAATGCATTCTTTTGTTATATTTTGTCATAGAAACATTAGTAATTCATTATCCATAATCTTTATAATTTATTATACTACAAGTATACCAATTTCCTGTAAAGTTTGGAGGAAATAGTACTGAAGATACTTTATAGAAGAATGTATAATCCAGTTTAATTACCTACATTGTAAAAATCTGGATATGTGGCATTTCTAGTATAAATGACTGCTGCTCTTAAAATATCATATTTTACCTGTGTTAATTAGCATAAAAATGTAGTCCAACACATAAGAAGTTGAAGGAATTGCAATGCTTCAAATTCAAAGCCAGCATAAACTAGGGTTGCTTAAGAAAAGCTTGTTAACTAATAACAATAAAACTTGATTTATTTGCCGGGCAATGGTGGCACACGCCTTTAATCCCAGCACTCAGGAGGCAGAGGCAGGCGGATCTCTGTGAGTTTGAGACCTGCCTGGTCTACAAGAGCTAGTTCCAGGACAGCCTCCAAAGCCACAGAGAAACACTGTCTCGAAAAACAAAAACCAAACCAACCAACCAAACAAAAAACTAATTTATTTTTATTTGTTACCTCCTCAGTTAAATAATTCTTATACTGTTGAATGATCTGCAAATCGTGTTGTTATAATGTTTGTCTACATTTAGAGTGCATAATCTGGTTAAATGTTAAGTAAACCCTGTTGATTTGTGATATTTCACAAGGAATTTGTGGCATTCATCTGTGGCCCCTTTGTTGTGAGTTTTAATCTTAATAATTTGACAAAGTTCTATTTTATGTTAGGATACAGGTTGCTGCTAAAAGTTCTAAAATATCTTGTCAATTTATTCTTAATTTTTTGTTGTCATTATTTCAAATCTATTACATTAGAACCCAGATTTTCCGTTACTATTGTAGTGTAGTTATTTAATACCAATGCTCTAGCAAATTACTTTTTTTTGCTGTACTAGTAATGCACTAGGATTTCTTTGTTTTGATGTTTAGAGATCTCTTATGTCTTCTTTGACTATATAGATACATGTCTTTTTTGTTAAAACATAACCTAAGGGAGCACATGTATTTTTATTATTCAGAAGGTTTGCAGTTATGCATAGCTACCTCATTATCTCTTTTATTCCATTCTGTCCTTCAGTTGAACTGAATAAAAGATGTTCAAGAAGATGAATCCTAAAAGACAGAATATGTTATCTCTTCAAGTAACTAAAATTCAGATCACATTTATTACTGAATTTGGGAGACTAAGCAGCATTCTAATTTCAATTCACTAAAAATAATACTTCTCAAGTATGTTGAGAATAAAGAGGATTTTTATCATAACAACTAATTTACCAGTGATTTTTCAGGTGAGTAATGAAAGTATCTACTAACCATTCTTATATATTATAATTAATTGGAGAATGCAGAGAAAAGAACACAAAATTTAAAAATGTGTTACCAACAAATAATAGTATTTTTTCTTTTATTTTTGAGATTACAATACAATTACATAACCCTTCCCTTCATTTTCTTCCCTGCAAACCCTTCCATATTCCACTCTTTGCTCTCTTTCAAATCTATGGAGTCTTTTTGCATTGACTGTTGTTACATGCATACATGCATATGATGTATGAATACATGTCTTTGATACAAATAAGACTGTGTGAATCTACATTTAACCTCTGTCTCTATAATGTTACTTGCATGTATATTTTAATTCAGATAACAGAGCTATTCCTTTGTTATCAGATGACTAATTATTCTGCTCTTCCCTAAAAAATGATTCTCCCACTTGAACCATTCCTTAGTTTCCTATAGCTCTTTGTGTAGGGTTGAGTCCTTGTGGCCTCTCAGTCCTTCCACCATTCACTTTGGCATATCTATTGTTATTCTTACTTTTACTTTTCTTTATTTTATTTTCATTTATTTAATTTTGTCCATTATTGAACAAACTATTCCTATTATGGCCACAGAGAACCTCTGGGACTCATAGTTCTTCAGTCATCTCTGACATCAATTAGGTTGAAACTGTTTCTCACCACTTCAATTCTTTCCATACCTGGATGTGTTCAGTGATGGTATGTGCCTTAATTTACCCAGGCTAGCAAAATTACTCATCACAAAGTTTGATTTATTTTTTTGTGGTCTAGAGAAAGTAAAGTGAAAATGCAAGATCAAGAAAAGAATAGATTTCTTGGCCAAGTCATCAATGATGATTACTTATCTGTTCTCCTGTGGTTATGTGGACAAAATAGCTCTATCAGAATTTTCTATGAGGATTTTTATATTCTGAAAGAACTAATGGCCTTGCAAAGTCTCATTTTATGTAACATATTTGTAGAATTTAATTCATTATAAAAAACTGTTGACAAAATTATATGGTCAGAACAAGACAATAGCAATTAAAGCTTGTCCCACATGAAAAGTACAAGTTCAAATCTCTAATGGTGAAGAGATAAGGAGAGAGTGGACAGCCTTGCCACATTCTGATTTTAGAGTAATCAAGTTGAGTTTCTCTCTATTCAGTTTGATGTTGGCTGTTGGTTTGCTGTATATTGCTTTTATTATATTTCGGTATGTTCCTGTTATTCCTGATCTTCTAAGACCTTTATCATGAAGGGGTATTAGATTTTGTCAAAGGCTATTTAGAGCATCTAGTGAAGTGATCATGTGCTTTTTTTTCTCAGTCTGTTTATATGGTGGATTACATTGATGGATTTTCATATGTTGAACCATTCCTGCATCCCTGGGATAAAACCTACTTGGTCATGGTGGATGACTTTTTTTTATGCGTTCTTGAATTTGATTTGCCAGTATTTTGTTGAGTATTTTTGCATCAATGTTCATGAGGGAAACTGGTCTGTAGCTCTCTCTCTTAATGGTGTCTTTGTGTGGCTTGTGAACAAGCCAATTGTAGCCTCATAAGAAGGTATTTGGCAATTATTCTTCTCCTTCTTTTGTATAGAACAATTTGAGAAGTACTGGTATTAGCTCTTCTTTGAATTTCTGATAGAATTCTGCACTGAAACCATCTGTCCCTGGCATTTTTGGGGAGGGGGTTGGGAGAGTTTGATGACTGTTTCTATTTCATTAGGGGTTATAGGTCTGTTTAAATGGCTTATCTGTTCTTGATTTAGTTTTGGTAAGTGATATCTATCCAGAAAATTGTCCGTTTCCTTCAGATTTTCAATTTTGTGGAGTACAGGTTTTTAAAGTATGATCTAGTGATTCTCTGGATTTACTCAGTGTCCATTGTTATGTTCCCCTTTTCATTTCTGATTGTGTTAATTAACATGCTCTCTCTCTCTGCCTTTTGGTTAGTTTGGAAAAAGGGTTGTCTATCTTGTTGATTTTATGGAAGAACCAACTCTTTGTTACATTGATTCTTCGTATTGTTTTCCTAGTTTCTACTTTATTGATTTCAGCCCTCGATTTGATTATTTCCTGTCATCTACTCCTCCAGGGTGAGTTTCCTTCCTTTTGTTCTAAAGCTTTCAGTTGTTCTGCTAGATCTCTAGTGTGACTATTCTCCAGTTTCTTCATGTGGGCACTTAGTGCTATGAATATTCCTCTTAGTTCTGCTTTCAAAGTGTCCCATAAGTTTGGATATGTTGTGTCTACATTCTCATTGAATTCTAGGAAGTATTTAATGTCTTATTTTTTCCTTGACCCAGGAATGGTGCCATTGTGCATTGTTTAATTTTCATGACTTTGTAGGGCTACTGCAATAATGTAAAATTTTATATTAAATCTTAATATTCTTTTGTTTAAAACATTACACCAACTAGGAAAGAATTGCCATCTTCCAAATACCTTAAGTTAGGGAATTCTACTTTCATGACACATTATGATATTTAGCTACACCAACAACTCTGATGTGCATTACTTGAATCCCATGGTTCTCTCTTAATTTGCCTTTATAAAATAATTTTGATCCCTACTCCCACAGCTGGGCATGCACTAACCAGTGTTCTTTGCAGTGACCATGGCACATTATTTGCCTAAACTTCATTACCATAAATTAATTATTGGTTTAAACTAGTGCCTGATTGGTAATAGACAATTGATAGCTGCTTTTAGATTGGAGCTGATCAAAAATAAGTTTTAATTTAGGATTAATTTAGAATTAATTTAATTAGACATTAAAGAATATAGAAGTGATAATAGTTTATAACTGAAATAGGTATCTCACATCTCACAGAAACACAATTGTTTTTAATCTCAAAAGCACTCCCTTTGATGTCAATCAAAATCATGGTTGAAATTTTTCTTTTAAACCAGAAAATAACAAGAAAAATAACTTAAAATCAAATAAATGTTATTATACTAGTTCTGTTTTAGTAGATACTTGATTTTGATTTTAAAAGATCAGTTTTAGAATATTCCTATGAATTGGAAAATAAGTCTGTTTTGTTTTCAAGCTCAAGAAGAAGCTCACAAATGACTTGATACCTCGCAGGTAACAATTATTTCCTTAGGTAAGAAGCTTGAATATTTGTTTTCTTTTCACACACCATGAAGGGGAAAGGTCTTTCTACTAGTAAAAAAGATAATGATGTTTACACAAAGATTATAAAGTTATTAGATTGCTTTGAAAAACTGCCCTGAATCTTTGCTGAAGATCAAAACACTTGTACAAAGCATATTTGAATTATGTGTGAACTCTGGATGGAGGAACTTGTGTAACAAAATCTGTTTCTACACTTATTATTTATGGTGTGTGTGTGTGTGTGTGTGTGTGTGTGTGTGTGTATGTGTGTGTGTAAATCCCACACACATATGGAGATCAAAATCAGTAGAAATGAATTGTTTTTTTTTTTTTCTTTTATCAGGTTTGTCCTGAGATTGGCTTTAGATCATCACATGTGTTGGAAAGCAACTTTACCTGCTGAGATATCTTTCCAAGTCTGGGAATCTTCAATTGCTTTAATATTTTTGTTTTGTTTTGAGACAGAGTTTGTGTGGCCTTCACTGTCTTATATCTAGCTCTGTAGACAAGGCTGGACTTGAATTCACACAGATGTACCTGCCTCTCCTCCCTAGTGTGAGGATTAAAGGTGTTCACTACCACTCTCTGGAGTCTTAATATTTCTTAGCAAACTGAATTATTACTTGACACCATCCGTATCTGAATGTCTGTTTCCTAGGCCACTACACGTGATACCTGTAATATGGGTTAGTCTCTAGCACTGATAAAGCCTAAAAGTCGGAACTACATTTTTAAAATTAGCATGTTACATGCAAAGCTCATAAAGTACATAAAATATTTCTACACTATTTATGAATTGAAATCCTGAATGACATTATTAGATTGGGTTTTATTTCCTGCTATATCCTATTTCCAAATCCTTACAGAACAAAAATAACTATTAAAATCCATACAAAAATGTAAAAAGTCTACTTTGAGGTTGGTCAGCCAGTAAAAGTGCTTAACACAATAGCCTTAAAGCATGACTCAGATTAACAGGACTGTCTGCATGTAGAAAAAAAAACAAAAACAAAACATAAAACCATATGTGACTCTGTAGAGCCTTACTATGACATCATTTTCATTTTTAATATGCATTTTAATGTGTTCTAATGGGGGAATGTCCTTCTGTATATATATTCTCTTATTGGTTGATGAATAAAACAAAGATTGTCCAGTAGCCAGGCAGGAAGTATAGATGGGGCTACCAGACAAGGAGAATGCTGGGGATAGGAAGGCAGAGAGAAACTACCAGAGAGACATGTCATGTAATCACTGAAAGAATAACAAGCTGGAGCCTTCTCTGGTAAGATAAGTTCATGTAGAAATACATAGATTAGTAGTTATGGGCTAATAATTAAGAGAGAGCTAGCCAGTAAGAATCCTGAGACATCAGCCTAACAGACTCTAATTAAAATCAACTGAGGAACTTTATAAGGAAAAACAAAAGACCTAGGATAGCCAAAACAACCCTGTACAATAAAGGAACTTCTGGGGGCATCACCATCCCTGACTTCAAGCTCTATTACAGAGCTATAGTCCTGGCAATAGCTTGGTATTGGCACAAAAATAGACAGGTTGACAAATGGAATGGAACTGAAAACCCTGATATGGACCCACACACCTATGAAAACTTGATTTTTGATAAAGAAGCTAAAGTTATACAATAGAAAAAAGAAAGAATCTTCAACAAATGGTGCTGGCATAACTGAATACTGGCTTGTAGAAGACTGCATTTAGATCCATATCTATTGCCATGCACAAAATTAAGTCCCAATGGATCAAAGACCTCAACATAATTCCAGCCACAATGAACCTCTTAGAAGAGAAAGCAGGTGGTACTCTCGAATGAATTGGTACAGGAGACCTCTTCCTGAACATAACACCAGAAGCACAGACACTGAGATGGACAAGTAATACATGGGAACTCCTGAAACTGAGAAGGTTCTGTAAGGCAAAGGACACAGTCAACAAGACAAAAAGACAGCCCACAGAATGGGAAAAGATATTCACCAATCCCACATCTCACAGAGGGCTCATTTATAAAATATACAAAGAATTCAGGAAGCTAGTCACCAAACACCAGTTAATTCAATTATTACATACTGTATTTAGCCTCAAATTCATTAGGTTATTTTTTACTTCAAACTGTATATTTGTAGACTCCATGTTTCCTTCATTATAATACTTTTAAACATATTATGCTTACTTTATTGTGAAAAACATTAAATGAACACACTGCTTTGTGAATTTTCCATTGAAGCATATAGTGTCTGGGAAAAACTGGACAGCAATGATTAATATTTATATTTTCTGAACAATGAATAAGCTTTGGAAATTTGTTATTTAGTAGCATAAAAGAGCTTTGATTGAATCAGACTTAAAATGTGATAACATAAATGAGAATAGACAGATTTCTAAGACACCTGGCATTTTTTAATCTTGCAAAAATAAAATTGAATTGCTCATCAAATTATTCCTGTCTTGAAGGAAATTACTATTATTTAATCTAAGAAGAGTGAGTTATGTAAGTAATTCACTTTAAAAGAGAATAAAATATGAGCTATGAGACAAGATGAAAGAAAAAATGTGCAGCCACTTGGCAAAGAGATATAAAGGTCACTGGAATCTCCAAGAAAGGACACTAAAATACCCACAGTAAAATGCTCCAATCCACAAACTATAATTTTATAACTATATCATATAATTTAATGACTCATCAATCAGACTGAATTTTTTGAATTAATCATTCATAAATTTATAAAGTTCTAACAAATGGAATTTCAAGACGGCTGTTATTTAAAATTCACTCTTATTAGAACATTCAAAGTAATGAAGCATAACCATTTCATAATTAAAAGGGGAAAAATCAAAGATTACAAATAAGATTTCAAAGAGAGTTAGATAGCCAATGTAACTCGAAGAGATTTGTAACATAGCTTCTATGTCCCCTCATTCAGAATAAGGGAACATAAGAAATCATTTAAATGTTAAAAATTCAAATATTTCCACTAAAATCAGGAATAAGAAGGTTGTTCATTCTCTCCATAATTATTCAGTATAGTTCTTGAAGTATTAAATAGAGCAATAGGACTCCTTTGTCTGTATGTCTTTACTGGCCAGTTTTGTTTGCAAAGAATCATTGGTGTGGTTCCAGGCCTTTTCTTTCTACTACACTATGAATGTTGAGCCCTCAAAAGGATCCTTCTGCAGATATGTTGTTGTGCTATGTTGTGGAGATCTTGCAGCTTTGGGTCTGTGGGTCAATTTCATTCATGTGCTCTGGCAGATTGTAGATGAGTTGAATGGACACATACTTTTTGATAAAGAATCTAGAAATACCTAGAATTTTCAACATATAGTGCTGGTCAAACTATGTATACATTTATAATAATGTAAATAGATCATTATGGATACCCCAAAATCATTTCACCTTATTACAGGACACTTGTTCATGAATGCTTGACCTATGATGGTGACTTGCCAGCAAGCTGTACTGGTGCTATAATGGCATTAACTTGGGAGAGTAACCAACCAATATCTAATTATCAAGGTCCACTCACTGAGATAGAGCCCATACCCAACACTGTTTGATGACAAAGAATCTGAGACTAAAGAGACCATGGTCCTAGGGGAAAGTCAACTGCTACTGCTCTGTGTATTTACGATAAATCTTCCTGCCAAAAGCCTCCTGAGCCCCACCGCCACGTGTGAGCTTTAAGCCAGCCTCCCGCCCAAGTTAGGCCCAAATGAATACACAGAAACTTGTATTAGGTACAATGCTGCTTGGCCAATGACTAGGATTGTTAATCCTCATCTGTTAGCTCAGTCTTAATTGTCATAAATCTATATATTTTATAAGACTTATCTTATCGGACACCTTATTGGTGTACCTCCTGTTCGGTGGATCACATATTGCCGCTGGAGCAGGAGCGGAGGGGAAAAGAGGGCCCTTCCTGTTTCTCCTTCGCTCAAATATGAGTCTCCTTGCTATGTCACTTCCTGCCTGGATCAGCACTTCTCTACTACATTTCCCAGAATCCTCTTTGACTCCTAGTTCCATCTAACTTGGTGTCTCATTGGCCAAATAGTATTTTATTTAACAATCAATAAGATAAATATACACAGTAGTACATTCCCCATCAGCTCTGCTAAAAGGAATGTCATAATGAAATGTTCTATACACACAGATAGAACAGCTATCAGCTTGCTCAACTATCATCAGAGAAGACTCCCCCCAGTAGCCCTCAAGGGGATATAAATTATCATCTCAGGGCTCAGAGAAGTCTGTTAAAGAAGAAGCTGAAAGGGTGTAAGAGCCAGAGAACTGGGAGAACACCAAGAAATCAAGGCCTTGTAAACTCTACAGATTGTTCTACATATGAACTCAAAGAGATTGAAGCAGCATGCACAGAGTCAGCATGGGGACAGACCTGAAAGAGTCCTAGAGTACAAAGGGGAAGCAAATGTCTCACCCATGCAGTAGAAGATATTTCTATCTCATAGCCATTTTAAATGAAAAATTCTTCTCCAAGGGAGTCTAGGTGGGGAAACAAACAAATGACATTGTGGGAGGCTCCATGCCCAGCAGTTAACAACCAACACAAAGTGAACTCTATGATATCTTTGGAGGTTCTCTGTCTAATGAAATTAAGTCACAGGGTTTTTGTTTCATTTACTGCTTTTCCTACTTTACAGGTAAATTTATTGCTTCTGTTTTTTTCCTATGGAATTCCTGTGTGTGAATATGTCCTATGTGTTTATATGCATTTCTTGTGATTTTTCCTTTTGACTCTTTTCTTGTATAGTTGTTTTGTCCTATTCTGATTTGTTTGAGTTTATAATATTTTATTGCTATTCTTTAAATACCTGTTTGTTTTCTAAGGAAGAAACAATGGGTATAGATCAAATGGAAAGGGAAGTAGGGAGGAACTGAAAGGAGTAGGGAGGTGGAAACCACAATTAAGCATCAAATCTGTATAGTGGCACTGTATAATCAATAGTTTCTCCCAGTTGTTACATTGACATCAAAGTTAGAAGGCAATGTACTATAAAGTGCACCAGTGATTCTTCACATTTAGACTTCTATTTTTCCCTAACTACATGGGCAATCCATTCTTTGTTAGGAGTGTCTATTTTCCTACTTATTCATAAATATAAGAGTATATACACTAACATATATTTAAAGGGTCATGAAAATCAACAAATGATTCATTGAGTAGAGAGCCTAGAATATTACACTTGTTCATTATATGTGTAGTGTTAATTTAATAAAACATGCTTCAGAATCAATAAAGTCTACTCCATTAATACTGAGTCTTCTAATTTATGTAGAATGTTTTCAAATTATTCAAAACATAAATTGTTCCGAGTGAAAATTGAACATATTGGCTTCATCCAATAATTTGATGAGGGAGTTTATTAAGAATATTTCTTGAGGAGAAATTTCTGAGTCTACACCAATCATAAAATGTATTACCTTAAACACAAATATCATTCAGAATTCTGTGGACAGTTGAATGTTATTTTAGATGGGTTCTTAAAATAGGAAAACTATACTTTCTCTGTAATTGATAAAACATGAAGCTGCTCATAGAGGAGT